CCAAATTTTAAAATGTATATATCTTTTGTGTCAGCAACTTATCTGACAGATGTTTTCTCACTAGTGCACAATATTACAATCTTGAGTTTTCAAGAAAGTATGCCTTTTGGTGCATTTATACAATAATAGATAATGGAGCTGTTATAAAAACTGACATAGATCTACACGTGACTCACATTTATTGACATCCAGAACATTATTGAGGAAAAATAAAGTGTGATACAATATTTGTAGAGTAATATTGTTTATATTAAAGATTAAAATTATATACATACTGACACACATGCACATATATACTTTCATATGCATATAAAATTGACCAGATAGGAATATCTGATTTTGTTTACAAGGTTTATTTCCAGAGAAGAGAAATGATGAATGAGGGGATCCTAGATGGAAAATCTTTTATACTCTATACACTTCTTTTGAATTATAAGCCTTGCATTTCATTGTTTAAAGTTATTTTTACTAAAGTCACATGAGATTATATTTGAAAAATTACTGTAGAATTTTGAAGTTACATTTAACAATAGCAAAGCCAGGACTATTTTCTACAGTAATTAAGGCAAATTTGGTGATAATGCCTTCTCAAAAAAACACATCTACAAATTTGAAGGATACAACTCCAAAACTAGGCCCTAGGCCTTACATGTTTATAGGCAAAGAATGACCAAAGTAAGTGCTCCAGGGCTTCTTAAACAGCCTGGTTGTAGAGGAGCAGTTTATATTGGCTCTTTAGCTCAATACTTAGAGTTTATTAATCATAACAATTAGCATTTTTATTTGCTTGCAACTTTTTTGCCATTCGTTGCCATGGCAACAAATCATGTATTGATTCAATAAGGCATGTTGCATTTCTTAGAATACTGTAATTAGATAACCAATCTGTAATTTAGTCAAAATGAAAGCTGACCTTTCTCCTTAAGATGATATAACACTAACCATATCAAGAACAGAAGATTTATGCTTCAAATGAGCTTGAATAAAGTTTAAGAAAGTGGAACTCTGCTTCCTCTTAAAAATGATCATCTTTTCTCCTTATCAGTAATGCAGATGTAACAAAATATCCAACATACTGAAACACAGAAATTTCAATTGTGTATTCACATGATATTCCAATGTAACGTACTGCTCTGTAGAGTAGATATTTGGTGCAGTCGGTCAATATTAAAATTCTGTCAGTGTAATAGTGAGATTTCAGCATGCAGTACAGAAGTCTGTGCTGAGAAGCAGAAACAAATAACCCACTACATTGACAAACTCAGCATTTTTATTTCTTCTCAGCAAAAAGGGAGTTCCTAATTTAGTCTAACAGTGCTGTGTTCTCAGACTCTATTCAGGTAAACAACAACAAAAGACAAACAAAAATACTTTTCCTTCTCTGCATGGGGTTTGACAGCTTTCTAGGAGATTCAATAAGTTCCCAGGGTCCAATAAAAGAAATATCTTTTCTTTCTAAAACACCAGAATTATAACCCGTGCAAGGAGACATCTATCTTTTTTTCCCAGAGAATTTTTTTCTAAATCTACAAGCATACTACTTAGAAAATTAAATCTCCAAAGAAACAAACATCAATGGTAAACTGTAGACATTATATGCTTATGTTTTCCATTCTTTCATGCCTTTAATGTTCCCTTTCCTTCCCTGTGCCATTTCATTTCTCTCTTACCAATTGTCACCACACCAGTTTACCCGTTCATCCTCCCTAGCAAAGAGATCAAGGACGTTGTGCTCTACTTCAGAACTTCACGGAAGCACTGTTTTCTCTCCAGATACAAACCAGATTGAGACCTCAGAGCCCTTCAAGTCAAGCCTAAGAGAGAATCTGAAGGGCTTCTAGCCTAGGTGATAATATCAGGCTCCAAATCAGGAGTCAGTGTACATGCTTGGTGATGGGGGAGGTATAGTCCTGTACAATGAAAGCTCATGCATGAAATTACCATAAAATGAGGAAAGAGAAAATGTGATAGAGAAGAAAAGTTGCAAGAAAATTGGAATTATGGGCAATATCTTTGAGATACAGATTTTGATACTTTGAATCTATTTGTAAAGTGGTCTCCAGTTACTGAATGAAGAGATTCTCAATGCATTTTTTTTTCAGTATTAGGTGTTGAATGTTTAGAAATTAAGTGAAATAAGTACAATTCTAAGCAATCTGTCTTGTTTATAACCAGTCTTTCTCCACCCAACTCATTAGCGAAGTAAGGTAATGAGCACTATGAATGTGGAAGAAATAGATGATTCTCAACAAAGCTGCTTATTTTCAACTTTGTTCTTATAACAACGCTCATTAGATAAAACTGGGATAATTTAAAGCATAATGAGAAGTCTACTAATACAACCAAATAATAATAATTTATTGTTTGCCATCTTCCAGAAACTATTTTAAGAGTTTTAATGCATTATTTCATTTAATGAACAAACCACAATTATTTATGTATTATTATGTCCATGTTACAAATGAGAAAACTGTAGCCCAGAAAGTTTGAGTAAATCATTCAATACCGCACTGATAAGAAGGGTTTCCTATCCTAATGAGCTCAACCAAGAATCCATGCTGTTAATCATCAAGTTCCTCATTAATTCTTCTCAGATTCAGGTTTTTTGTAGTCTTAGATTTGTAGTATTAGATGGCTTAAATATTTTTATATTTTAGTTTCATATTTTACATTTTAGTATCATAGAGTAATTTACCCTCACTTTGATAAAATTAAAGGCAGTGGGGTAAAGTTACTTCTGTGATATGGACAAACAGCAAGATTATTACAGGGCAAAGACTGATGGTAGAAACTCTGTATTTTCATGAGACTGTTTAGCCCTTTACTCCATGTAAAACACAGCAAAGTGGTGGGTGGCCCAGCCACTTCTTTTTTTCTAGGAATCCACTCCAGCCATAAAGATTACATTTAAACTTAGTGGCCTAAGCTCAAGCATGATGCATAATCTAGTCATGGGAAGTGAAAATGGTATCAGCTCTGCGTAACAGTCACAGCAAGGAAAATCTAAAGGGACAAATTAAAGTACACACACGTGCACACACACACACTAATAATACACACACAGAAATAACACATGCAAACATGAAGCTGAAGCTATACTGGGGTAGAAAAGGAGGAATATGAAGAACTTTGTTAAGGTCCTGAATGACAGCTGAAACAGTCCCATACAACCATCTTCCCTGCCGAAGCTATACTGGGGTAGAAAAGGAGGAGTGTGAAAACCTTTGTTACGGCCCCGAGGGACAGCTGAAACAGTCCCACACAACCATCTTCCCTGCCCCTAATAGATCTGGAAGTACTGGAGAATCTTACATAGTTTGACATCTGGTAAAATATTCATATTTTGCCAGATGTGCACTCCTTTTGGCCACAAAGAGATGATGTTAAAACTCAATATGAAGACTAAGTTAGCATTAGTGCTTTATGGATGAACACATTTTTTAGAAGGTGGTTTGTTTCCTTCCAGAAAGTCTCCTCTCGAGAATCTGGCAGGGCTCCTTTCCTTTTCCTCTGTTGGATTGGTCTCTGCTATGCTATGTATTGGTTTGGCAGCACATCCTGAATTTACCTTATGACTTGGACAGAAAAGTGATGCCTGGATGTGTTGCATATTGGTATGAATTATAGGCCATAGAACAGATGAACTCAGAAAGCCCTCAAGGTGCGTAAATAATAGTAAATATGGGGATTTACAAAATATGACACAAAGTTCTGCTGTGTTAACTACATATATTTTATTCTCTAAATAAAAAACAAACTATCAAAATGTTTGGAGCAACATGGAAGCTTCCTTATTTAAAAAAGAAAATGAGCACAGCTCAAATGTGAAAAGCAGATTCTCTAATTCTTTGAGTCCAAGAAAAGGATGCCTGTGTATCTAGCTCCCTGGTCTTTAATATATACTACCTTATTTACATGTATCTTCTAAAGGAGTTAAAATTTAGCACTGCCGCTTTCTTGTATAATGAACACATTCAATAATAATGAGGGCAATGAAAATAGTGCATAGCATGCTAAACTTTACATTCTCTTTACATATGTTCTCTCATTTGATCCTCACAAAAGCACTACTAAGTATATAGTGTCAGAAAAGGAAACAAATGCACAGGTGTGGGCATGCCCAGAAGAGTCTCCAGAGACCTTGTCACACAACTTCCGGTCTAGGGCTCTTTCCCCTGCCTCACACTCTCATGAGTTTGTTGCTATTGAAATCTCTATCTCGCACTTCTACAGAGCTAGAAAACCCGGAAGACCTAGACAAAGATAAATGCAATCATTAGCCTTCAGCCTAGATTCTAATGTCATATGTCATACTTTTCACTTGGAATTGAGGTAATATTGTGCCACAAAATGGGAAATCTAGCAAGTAGAAAGTAGAGTTTGAATATTTTTCAGGGAGAAAGTTTTTGCTAAAGAAAAAGAGAATTGCTATAGTTATCAACATAAAATATTTACACACTTTGCCATCTATCTATATAACTTCGTCTATATGCAGACAACTACTTTCATATTTGAAACATATTGCTTCACATCAAAACTTGGCCATGATACTCCAGATTGTCCCTAAAGCATATCAGACTGTCAAGAAAGAGAAGCGTATCAGAAAGAGAAGGGAAACAGAAAGAGTTTCCTTGTAGAATACATGTAATTGTCCTGAGTTCTGAGTTCCTGCATAAAGCAGAAATTTCTCATGCATAAGAAATGGTAGACTCAGCTTGAGTGGTTGATTGCTATTTCTTCCAATAATGTTTCCACACACTCACTCTCACTCTCTTGCTTTTTCACCCTTTCTTTTTATCTAATTCTATGTTATGTCTGTCTCTAGCTACCTATTGTACATGCTTTTGTAGAATTTCAGGAACAGCTTTTTATCTGGAGCATACGGCTGCCTGAACGAGTTACATAATATAACAAAAGCTTTACCCCAAAGCTTCTACGCATTCCAAAAGCTTGTACTCGGATAATAGAAATATTAGCCTCAGGTGACTGAGAACACTTACTGTTGGTTGCATAACGTATGGCGGATGAGGCATCCATGAAGTACTCTGGACCTATGCATCAAACAGCATTTATTAGCACAAAGTAATCATAGAGAGAACGTGGTTCTTGTGTTCAGTGGAGTCACACTAGGTCATAAGAAAGTGGAGTCCATCTGACTTTACAGTTAATTCGTCCTCAAAACTAAGGGCAAAAAGGGAAGTCTTGGATTTCATTAAACTGGTCCCTGAAACATGCTAAAAGGTAAAGCAACTTCCCATCTCAGTGGAGCTAACTTCAGTGCCCACATGGACCAGGCTGGGTCTTGGAGCATATTTTGAGGTTGATAGTGAAGGCTAAAGTTTTAGGAGGCCTCAGAGGCCATTTGAAGATCAACTCTCAGGGATGTCCTGACAAGTAATGAAGGAAGCAAGAGTTGATTGCTAAGACTTTCTTTTTTTCTGTCATCGCTTGTAACTCCAAGTGCTCAAGTGATCCCATTTTAGAAATATGTCCAAGTGGTAAAAGTTGTGGGAAGAGCTAAAGAGATAAACCAAAAATGTGGGGGAGTTATTTAGGTTTAACTCAAGCAAGTTTGTAATTATTTTCTCTCATGGGTAATTGGTGTAACAAATAAAAATGAGCATATCAGCCAGCCAACTATTCTTAAATGTACCATGTGTCAGCCAAATGAAAGGGGCCTATATAAGCTGAATGTCACAGGGAGAGCTCAGATTATANATTCATGATGTCTGATCATTTTTCTATTTTTTCTTTCTTTTTGGTATAAAGAAGGAATATTTTTTTAAAGGCACTTGAATTTCGTCACCAGCTGCGTTTCTCTTTCACATTGTTATTAGGAATTTTAGCATGTCATACGTGGTCTTTGTGTGCACATGTGTGTGCAAGGATGACTTTTGTAACATTATGTTTTTAAATCTGACAAGGTCATATAAGCTGGGGAAAAAAAAAGCAAAGGGTCATCAAAAGGGGAAAAATAACAGAACTATGGAGAAATGGCTCTCTGTCGGCCTTGGTATTGATTCAGAGTGTGTCAAAAGGGTCTTTTGTCGTGCCCCTACCACAGCATACTAATTTGCTAGATCAAGTCTGTCAGAATATCGACTGGAAGTAAAAAACTACAGTGGCAGCTTTTGTGTTTCCTACAGCAGGGAGCCTGTGTGTGAAACAGGATTATCAGGGGGTCATGAAGAGAGTCAAAGGATGTCCATCACCTCCCTTCTGGTAATGTAATGGGGCGGGCGCCTGGGTGTGATTAAGATGTAGGAGACGGGAGGCATTGCGGTGAACAAATCAGAAACACACACATGCAAATCAGGTTGGCTGCTGTTAACCACATATTTTTAATGAAAAATTCAATAGCAGACCAAACAAATATCTAAACAGCCGCATTCAGCTAACATATCAAATGACGTATTCAACATCTTTTCTTGAAAACCAAATATACCAAACATAGAAATGCTTATCAAGTCTGCATTTTTCTTTAAATATCACTTTGCAATCTACAAGTGTTTCTTCTGCAGCCTGTGTGCTCCTGGCAGAGCTAACAGACTATTATATATCGAGGTTATTTTTTTAAATAAAATAAGATATACTATTTACCATGTCCTAGATCAGCCTCACCATAGCCCTTGGTATTAGAGAGTTTTGGCTCAGTTCTTTTTACTGGCTTTGTTGTACGACCAAAATAGCTTCCTTTAGTGGAAAAAATATGTGTGACAGAAAATTCATAGCTTTGTAAGAATACTGATCCCTAGATAGAGACTTCAATAGTCTCTCTTTTGATAATAAACATATCAATACTGTATATAAGACATGATAAAAATGATGTAAGAATTTTTCATAATCAAAGCTGACATTTATTTTTATCATTTTATTTCTAGTTTGCAGCACTCTGTGTTGGGTATTTATTTATTCTCTCTTTTGAGAAATGCTGATTTAAGTTTCCACTCTATACCTGGTGCTTGTTATATGCTGAAACTGCAGAAATGAATAAGATATCTGTCTTTAAGGCAAAGCAATCATATGGGACCATATTTCTGTTTGTAACTGCGCTGATTCTCTGTCTCAAAGACGATGGAAAATACCAGAAGAAGGGCTGATATGTCACCAGAGAGCTTTCGAGAGTTTGTTGATTGGCTCTGCCTTTAATAAGCCATCAGGAGGCAGGAACCAAGGGTGAACTTAAAAAGTTCCAAGCTTCGTAGGGACATGGATGAACCTGGGAACCATCATTCTCAGCAAACTGACGCAAGAGCAGAAAATCAAACACTGCATGTTCTCACTCATAGGCGGGTGTTGAACAATGAGAACACATGGACACAGGGAGGGGAGCACTACACACTGGAGTCTGTTGGAGGAAATAGGGGAGGGACAGTGGGGGGTGGGGAGTTGGGGAGAGATAGCATGGGGAGAAATGCCAGATATAGGTGAAGGGGAGTAAGGCAGAAAATCACACTTCCACGTGTGTACCTATGCAACAATCTTGCATGTTCTTCACATGAACCCCAAAACCTAAAATGCGATAAATAAAAAAAAAAAGTTCCAAGCTGCATTGTTTGCAAAGACAGTTCTAGATCACTTTATGGTAGAGGAATAAGTCCTACTAGAAACAACGACTGTCTTTCATCCAAAACATGAAAACCAAGGAAATAGAAACCTTTAGACCTTTGGATCTTATCTTAACTTTGACCATTGAGGGCTACATTCAGTTGGGACCTATTATCTGAAATAAGTACTTCCTTGCTTTATAATGTTCATGTTAATGAACCTCCTGGTTGTGACTATCATAAAGAGGTATTTGCTCATCAATATTCAATAATTCAAGAGGAATTGGCTTGACTTACTATGATTTTCAGAGGTTAGCTCTTTTTATTGTTTTTATTTGTTTGTTTTCTTCTTAATTCACCTTATCTTTATTTTTCACAACGACACTAATTCTCAGCCTTCCCTGCCAGGACTTTTTCCTTTCGCCTAACCTTGCAAAGTTGGAGGTCCTGGGTTCCTTTCTCCTCCCTTGCTAAACCCTGTCTCCCTATGATTGACTTCACTGCCATGGCTTTACATGCCCTTTATAAGCTCATTACATGCAGTTGTATGTCTCTGGTCCAGGTGCCTTGCTTGACACATCATAAGGACCATTAACCTCATGGGTCCAGAACTCATTTCTCCTCTAGTTGTCTTCATCTCAGTAAATGTATCAACAAACCTTTCATTGTTAAAGCCAAAAATTTCTTTAAAGTTTTGGAATGGGGGAAGAATCATGCTTGATTCTATACATTCCCTCATCTGCACAAGACATAGGTAATCCATCAAGTGCTGAAGGTTCTACTTCTAACATGTGTCTTGTATATGTCCATTTTTCTCTCAATCTACTACTTCTACCCTAATTGCCAAATTAGGTCTCAACTACAATAGCGTCCCAATTGGTCTTCCAGTATTGACTTTTGTCCCTTTACAATCCATTCCTCAATTATTTTTTTTAAAACATGTAAAGAGCATTTGGATCTAAATATCTTTGTGTTGCTGCCAAGCTATTCGGCCTCTTCAGTGAGCTTCTTCCCCTAGGTTTCCATCAGTGTAGAGCCTAGTTTGATATACTCAATATAGCATTTCATTACAATAACATATTGTTTGTGCTGTTCTCAAATTATTTTATACACCTCAGTCTCAACTGTAGATCATTTAAATAATAATAATAAAGCATTATGCTAGGGATAGTGGTAAGTGCTTTTCATATGTGAACTGAGACAATTATATTATTATCTCCACCTTATAAGTGAGAAAGCTAGAGCACAGAGAAATTAAATAATAAGCCTAAGTTTATAAATCTGGTAAATGGTTTCTGATGAGTATGTCTCATATTTCAGGACCATACATAGCACAGGGCCACACAGAGAATATATTATTAATACTTACAGAATGAAATTACAAGAGAAATAAGGTTAATCCAAAAATGTATGTTACACCCTTCTGTTCCTGGTCATTCTTTAGGTGTCTGCCAAGAAAAACACACTAAAAAGAAAAAAAAAAAAAAAAAAATGTAGGAAATACACACACACACACACACACACACACACACACACACACACACACACTACAACCAGGCAGGCCTGCAGGAAGAACAAAAACTGAACAGCACCTGCACATAGCCTCATGGGCCTCAAGGAAAGGCAATTAAGAAATCAGCCATTCAGAGACCCTCTAATGCAATTCAAATGAAAATCTATTCCATTTGCCCACGGACATGTTTCAAGAATCTGAGTGCAGAAAAAGAATGAAAATGATCTGCTTCAGGGGAATCAGTTAAGGAAAAGTGCACATAGTCTTAAGTTTGATTCTCTGACAACTGGGATATCCTGAAATGAAGTATATAGTGACTGAACAAGGTAAAACTTCACTGAATTAGTAGCAGTCTGCAACATTAGAGTTTTACCCATTATGTAACATCCACCCCCACCACCATCTGCAAAATTCAAGCACATGCATACACACGCTTTCATTCTCTCTTTCTCTTTCTCTCTCTAAACTTTTAAGAAATGACACTAGACACTTTCTACATGCAGCATATATATAGGTGTTTTCTAATTAGAATTGGAAAGAACTGTTTGAAGAACAATATTAGGTAGAGAAGAGGTTAACATCACATACGTAATAACTCAGAGGAATAAAATAAGGAGTATTGTTTGAGGGAGAAGTGTAACTATTTTAATCCACTTATGTACTTGGAATTAACTGGCTATAATATCTAGTTGAGGACACACATTCAGTCTCAGACTTTCCAGCATTTCAACATGTGGAACCCCTGAGGTCTCTTTTGGTCTCTCGGGAACTGAGAATAAAATAAGAGCAGGGACTAGAAACCACATTTTACCACTTTGATAATTTCTTCTGTTTCTTGGGAAGTATGATTTAACATCTATCTGTGTAGCTTTACCAGGACAACCATGACAAAATGAGATGACAATGATAAAATATCCTGGAGTGAGCGAAGGAACTGCTAGAAATGTGCTTTTAGAAAAGACACAATAGGGATCACGAGCAACCAAAATAACAAACAACAAACAAAATAATTTCCCAGTGGTGAAAGAACTGTCTTAAGGTTGGTTGGAAAGTGGCGTAATCAGGAAAACTCAGCAGGAAGAATGAAAAGCAGAGTGGATTTTATTATCCAGTGAATTGATGCAAACAGGCTCTTGAAAGTATGCTAACTCGTAACTTGTGTTGTCACTACATTAAGATGTGATTAAAGTTTATGAGAATTTTTTTTCTTTTCATTCTACTTTGTCCTTTTTGGCTCTAAATAGTGTCTTGCTGAAAGAAAGATATCTCCTAAAGTGCAGGTAAATCGGACATACCTGGTATGTGGAGACAGGGGAAGCAGCAATGAATGGTGTGATAGATGTCTGTGGAATCATGCGGTTGGTTGCAATACTGTACGGTGAAGAATAAAATCTGCAAACAGAAAACAAAAAAAAGAAGATTCATGAAGCTGCTACATGCCTGGCCTCCAAACAAATGCTACCAAGCACCTCTGGGAAAGACAAATTTCCACCCGCATGTTTTTCCACCAACTGTTAACAGAAACGTCCAGGAAATGTACATTATTGATTCTACCAAGAGAAATAAGTAGCTCTGAATGAAATGACTTTGAGTCATATTATGAAATTAGCTGCACAAAATCTCTCTTATGCCAGGTAAATTTAATACTGTCTCTAACCAAGAGGAGGAGACAAGCCATGAGTGTTGTTTAAAAGGCTTTGAAAGAAAGACAAAATGAAAGCACCACACTTTGTAAAGATGACTGATGTTACAAATACAGGAACTGCATCTATGTTTTCAGTCAGGAAATAAATATCAGTCCCTAGAAAGTTCTTGATATTTTGTGTGAGGCATAGGTCCATGCCCTCATGCAGAAAACACTTTCTCCATGAAAACAGAAGCAAGAGGACAATTTGTATCTAGGTTGGAATAGGAATGTTTTCTGGATTAAGTCAAGGCACTGGTAGAGACACTGAACCTATATGACATGCTCCTATAAACTCTGCAAAAAGCACTGAATTTTCTAGTCCTCCAGAGCCCTTCATTGAACAATTGTAGAATGCTACTAGACAAGATCAGGAATTCACAAATCAGAGGAGGGATGATTCTTCTGGAGATCTATTAAAGGGTAGCTCCTGGATATGAAAATCAGTGAAATCTCCATTTCTACCCAGGCTATACTGTAGAGTCCATGAGTTACTGAATGCTCAAATTCTTCAGCAGAATTTTATGTTTCCCTCGTGTCTTACTGGTAAGTGAAAAGGTAGAGTGGCCGACCACAGAACAGACGAAGCCAGGTTCCCTGAGATGGAATATGTCAGTGATGCGAGGAGAGATTGGAAAAATGCATGTGAGAAATGATGGTACAATTCTTCACTGTATTGTACTTTTGGCAAAACTCAATTACTATGTTTTTTTTTTTTTCTTTAAATAGTATGACTGAGCTTGGAATCTGGGGGACAAAGACTTCGTCCCACCTCAGGGGTCACTGATATTTTAAGTAGAGATTTTCATGAGTTATCTTTCTAAGAAAGCATTCCATGAGACTCCCATTAAATAAGGAAGGTCTAGAATTCAAGGTTGTCAGAATTCAAGGAGTAAATTCTTCAAGCTTAATTCCTATAAAAGTCTTCAAGTAAAGATATGGCCTTCAATGTACTAAAATTATAGTCTTAAATGTCCTTTAACTCTTAACAATGATTTGATAAGATCATACTCTTTTGTGTTAAAAAAATAATGAAGATGCAAAAGTTACCCCATTGTACATCACGTTCTTACTATCCATACTCACCAGACCCTTAAATTTATAATTGTGATGTTTAAAAAGAAGTCACTCACTATATACCTGATAGAATGACAAAAAGAGAAAATGCAAAGTTTTTTTTTTAAAGAAAGACAATACTAACAGCTGACAAGGATGCAGAGAAAGTGGAATTCTCCTTCAATGTTAGTGGAAAAGCAAAACATTACACCCATTTTTGAAAACAGCTTGGCAGTTTCTTTTAAAGTTAAACATATGCATTCCCTATGGCCCAGCAATCCCACTTTTCCATACTAACCAAAGATAAATAAACTTTCGTTTATGGAAAAACTTTAATCCAAATGTTTATAAAGGCTTTATTCATGCTTGACCCAACCTGGAAACAACCCAAATGTCCTTTCCTCTGGATTAATAATCAAACTATGGCATATCCATACAATGGAATACTACTTAGCAATAAAAGGAAAATAACTACTGAAACTATTCAACATGATTAATCTCAAGTAAATTTTGGTAAATGGAAGAAGTCAAACTCAAAAGGGTATATACTATAAAATTTTATTTATATCACACTAGGGAAAAGGCAAAACTATACAGGGTTGGAGGAAGGGTTTGATTCCAAATAAGCATGAGGAAATTTGAGGAGGGGAGATATCTGTTCTATATCTTGATTGCAGTGGTGGTTCCATGATTGTGTGTGTTTATCAGAATCACAGAACTGTACACTAAAGAGAATGAATATACTGTATGCAAATTATATATAATAAACCTGATTTTTTAAAAAAGGTTATTATATAAGGTACATTCATCTTTCCACTTTAAAAAATTATTGAACATTTACTATGTCTAACAAAGATGTGTAAGTCTCTAAAATACCCCTTTGAGTTTCTCTATTTAGTCATTTAAATTGTACTGTATTTGTGTATTAATCAGCCTGAAACTCTCCTAAGGCTTTCCATTACAATGAGAACAAAATGTTCACTCCTTGTACTGGCTAGCACAATCAGGCTATTGCCTACTTCTATGATATTGTTTTCTTAACCCTTTCTCCATAGCCGGCTAGGATTCAACCAAACTGACTTCCTTCTGTCCTGTGATATCATTCTCCCTCTTATCTCTACACTGAACTTAAAATTCTCTCTACCTAAAACGCTCACTCCTCCAAAGCTTTATAAGGCTGCCTCTTTTCATTTTTGGTCTCACTCAACTGTCCCTTTTTCAGAGAGGATTGTAGATGAATTAGCAACTGCCATGCCTGCCCCAATTGTTCTCTATCCCTTTTTCTCTTGATTTATTTCTATAATTCTCTTATCAGTATCCGAAGTAGTAATTTAAAAAATCCTTGTCATATGTTATGGACGGAATGTTTGTGTGCCCCCTAAATTTACATGCTAAAGCTCTAACCCCTACTGTGGCTGCATTTTGAGATTGGGTATCTAAGAAAGTAACTGGGGTTAAATAAGGACATAAGGGTGGGGCCTTAATAAAATAGGATTAGTGTTCTTTTAAGAAGATACATCGGAGAGCTCACTCAGGCTCTCACATGCACACACTGAGGAAAGGCCATGTAAGGACATAACAAGATAGCAGCCCCAGGAGTTTGAGACCAGACTGAGCAACATGACGAGAACCCCCCTCCACAAAAATACAAAAATTAGCTGGGCATGATGATGCATGTCTGTATTCCCTTCTACATGGGAGGTGAAGTGGGAGGATCACTTAAGTCCAGGAGGTCGAGGCTGCAGTGAGCCAGGACTGTGCTATTGAACGTCAGCTGGGCAACAGTGAGATCTTTTCTCAAAAAACAAACGAACAAGATAGCAGCCATCTACAATCCAGGGGAAGAGAGCCCCTACCAGAATCGGCTGTACTGATCTTGAATTTTACCATTCAGAACTGTGAAAAGGTAAATTTTTGTTGTTTAAGCCACCAAATCAATCAAGCCACTTTATTGTGGCAGCCTGAGCTGACTAATACAATGTATTTATTCTATTTCTCATTTTAGAATGTCACCTTCAAGGGGGTTGAGAGTATATCTGTCTTGTTGCCTAGAACACAGCCTGGGAGATAGGAGATACTTAATAAGTCTATGTTGAATGAATGAATAAATGCAGAGCAGCTTATGGAATTCAGTAGTGATTACCATACAGGATGATCAATGCCAAGGTGGCAGGACCATAGAAGAAAGGTCCCTGAAAGAGGGAATGAGAGCTGAGGAACGAGAGCCCAGAGAAGATGGTCCAGCATCACATATTAAATGCTAAGTGGAAGCTTAACTAATATGCCTGCTTTCTAAGCATGCAGGAGCCTTAGAAACTGGAAAAAACAGTCCTTTTCTATGAAACTCATGGTTTGCATTTGAAAATTCCTTCCAGGTCTTATCTCGACAGATCTTATTTGTGAGGCAGTGAACAGTATTTGGGGCTCATAAAGACACAGGAGGCACCCAAGGCCACTCAACAAATAGTCTTCCTCATACACCGTGCAGTGGTTTAACTTCTGGTAGAAATCCAGGGTCAGCTTCTTATACAGACAGAGCAAACCACACATTACATTTTAGCATGGCTGGTCTATTTTGTAAAATGCGCCAATTGGAGTATTAAAAATGAAAGCAATAAAGATTGGATTGACAGGCAAAGTTTGCAGGAAATTCTATGGGGAAAACAGAGAACAGAAACATAAAGAAAGCAAGCCAAGTAAACTGATACTAGCGAAAGGAACCCTTGGGGGAAAATTTAATGCATTTTTGTTCTGTCTGCTCTAATCCTATCCATCAAACAAGAATTACATTTCATACTTCCCAGTAAGTTCCAAGACTGCCACTCAAGTCAGAGAGTCATTTAGAAATGAAAATGTTCTGGGAAGTACAGACGCAGCATACTGTCTTGATCCGCTAATTCTGGTATTCTGAAATAAGCTCTTCTCAAGTCCAAATATATACCAGATGAATTTACAGGAAACCCCTGCTTAACCCATGACAGGAGAGGCTACTATTGCATCTGAGGCTTACAGGTACCACATCTAAAGAAAATACACAGGGCCAGACTCCAAGGAGGGAACTGCAGAATGTGTTTCCCAAACTCTTAGCTTTTTCTCAGTCCCTGCCATGGTCAGGGTTTGAAAACACTTTCACACAGGCATCACGTTAAAAATAAATAAATAAATACTTCAAGCACAGATGGCATGCTATTGGGGAACTTTCTAGGCAGAATAACAAAATAAGGTAATTCTAAACATGTGAATTTATGTTTCTGCATTGGGTAATACATGCATTACGCCTTGCAAATGTTGTTACAGAAAGTTGGAGTGACTTGTTTATCACATTATTTTCCTGGTGCAAGTTTACTTCTTCACCAAGATTCACATAGCATTTTGTATATAGCAAGTGCCTCTTTTACACTTAACCTTGTGGTTCTAAGCCATGGGTGACTTTGTCCTCCAGCAGACATTTGGCAATGTCTGGAGACATGTTTTATTGTCACAACTGGAGGAGAGTGGGGAGCTACTGGCATCTAGTGGGTAAAGGCCTGGGATGCTGGTAAACAGGCTACAATGCATAGAACAGCTCCTACAGCAAACATCTAGTGCTGAATGTTAGTAGTGTCAAGGCTGAGAAACCTTGCCTCAAGCACATGAGCTAGTTACTTCTGGG